TTTTCAAGAAGAGTGGTTCCTTCCTTCTTTTCCTATGAAGATGAGGATACTTAAGAAGTTTTTCCATTCTTTTCTGTGCATTTATAAAGCCATCAGAAAGACCCCTAGCAAATCAGGTTGTCTTTTGATTGCAAGTGGAACCGGTCATTCACCAGTCTGCACTGAGGCTCTTAAATCCCATCAGTGTTATCTTTCTCCAAACAATACTTAGAGAATCTGTCATAATTCCTTTGTTAGACTGCAGCAGATCACCTCCTTTATGAAATGTGGAATCAAAATAAACCAGAAAAAACCTTCAGCCACACTTATATGAATCAAAATGTGATTTTTTTTTATGAAGCTTCTCTTCTGAATATTTTTGTTCTGCCTTATCTTGGTTTTATATTTCCCTTAAACTGCAAGAACACAGACTCTTCTATATTTTAATCATTCAAATGTGAATAACTTTTGGGAAAACTATCTTTTTACTTCTAATATCACTTTTTATTCTGCAACTTACCCATGCTGGGACTTTTTGTCCTTTCTGAACTTTTTTTTGTAATGTAGCCTCCAGTGTGTGCCTTTTAAGCAAAAAAAAAAAAAAAATCTCCCTGACGGGATTTACAGACAGAGCCGTTATTTTTTTATTTCCCTTCAGCTAAGCTACCTCATTTTTATGTAGTTCCAATCTTGAAATTATATTACTGCTGTGAATTATCCTGTCAAGGGATTTGGGTTTGTGGATGCTTTGTGCACCATTACACAGTAGCTGTCTGTATCTACATCTGGCAGCAGACTGGGTCCAATGCTAAACCAAGAGCTGTTTTTTCTGATCTCCGTTTGCTGACTAACGGCTCCTAGAAGGTGTTGAGGGGTGTGCAAGAGTCACCTCATCTCACTTTACTCTTTTGTAGTTTATTTAGACAGCGTGGTAGAATGGGATGCAGTGGCTATATGTTTGAATTCATATTCATTCACCACAGTTTATGATTCTGTACTATGGACATCTGCCTTCGAGTTGGTTACTACCTTTAAAATCAGTGAAAAGAGAGTGCTTTTAAGATGGAATTAATTGCTGCTTTTTAAACCACCACACAAAGATGAGAGGAATTGCTCATGAGAAGCATCAGTTCTCTCTATTAACCATAAAGAGAGCCTGGGATGACTAACTCAGGTGTAGCTGAGTCACTCCCTAAATAGTGAGCCCCTGCTCTACCCCCCATCATGGCATTAATACAGTATGTACAGAGCCAGCTGAAACCCCATGATCAATAGAGATTCTCTGATATGCTTGCATGCAGATGGCTGACTTCATGCTTTCTTTAACATCTACTTGCATCACCTATTCTGTCTAATGTAAAACATAGTTTGAGAATTCTGTGTCTATTGATTTTTATTTTTCACCAGGTTTTAAGTGTTTATGTACTATTGATCCTGATTTATGACCAGGTCACTCATGCTAGTTTCTCTAGCAGATTACTATTTAAAAGAAGTCATTTTGTCTGAGTCTTACCATCTAGTATTACATGTAACCAATAACACGGATTATTTCTGCATCACTGCAGTTTTCTCTGTTGATATCCTATCCTTGTTCGCAGCTTATGAGGTTGGTATTTTTTTTACATCATCCCTTCACAATATGCCAAGATGAACCGCATGCTTGTCTATACTTACTGGTTGCCCCATCTGAAGAATGCTCGATGAATTTTCTTCCCCCACCCCCTTTTTAGAGTGTCAGTAGTCTAGTTCCATTTTTGTCTACATTGGATCCCTCCTTCACTGTGCTCTTTCAGTTCTAGAAGTTTTCTGAGTCATTAATAAACTCTCTTTTCCACAGTATTTTCTCAATGATGCCTTGTGATTCTGTTTCTTTGCCTGCCTCTGCATGTGGTCCTGGTCTTCATCCATTTACTTAGCAACATGAACATTGCCTGCAGGCCAAAACGCTTGGTACATTTCCAAGGGCATCAACAAACGTAAGTGATTTTTAAATGTGTTCTACAAGCAGAAATGACAGAGGAGTGTCTGACAGTAGAGAACTGGAGTTACAAAATACAAACAAATTCAAAGGGGAAAAAGAACTAAAGGGATAAGTGAGGTTGTGTCATTCACTAAGTTAATTTATGCTCCCAGGGAGAACAACCCATTTTTAGGACCTCCACAGAAGCAGAAAAATTTGCTAAAATCTGACCATATTCTTTGCCTCATATTCTATTTTTTCTATGTATACCTCTGGTTCAGAAAGTGGGAAAGATGATTTTCACCAATCATTCCGACTCATACAACTTCAAGTCAATTGATAATAAGGTTAGCACATTTACCCATCTTATGTCTTATTGGCCTCAAGCCTCCCCATCAACTTCTGTATGTGGAATTGTTCTAAATGGTTCAAATTAATCCAAATGAAATGAGAAATCTAGCCTATGATTTAAATTTCAGCATATTATTGCTATTGATAGACATCTTCTACTTTCTGAATTTGAGATCTTAATCCTGGACTGGATGTTATAAAATCTCTCAGAGCTACTGAGGATGGAGGTAAGTCAGTGAAAATGGCCACTGACTAGTCAGTTTGATATCTCTGGTTTTGTCTGATTTGGACTGACTGGAGACCCATTCAGCTATGACTTGAGATGACTTATTTTCATATTTTGTTTTGCCCATAAAGAGCAAGTGAGTAATGAACTCTTCACACTGGGTACTACACCTTGCAAAATGACAGCTTTCACTCCAAAAATATTACTGAGGAAGTATCAAACATTTAAAACAATCAGATCAGGACTGAAAGGCTTTAAAATGCATTTATAGAAATGCAAGGTCCCTGGCCAGACTCAGGAAGAATTCACAATCCACTCCCCAGTTATTATCACGTTGCAAGTCCAAGAGAAGGAAGTTCTGACAATCAGTCTGAAAAAGGAAAACAAAATTGCTTCAACTAGGCTGATCTAACTTTCCCTCACTTACAACAGGAACTGGCACAAATGCAGAGGTTGAGAAGGAAGCAAAGAAGATTGTTATTGAAGCATTTGTCAGGGACACAGTAAAGATGGAAATTCACAGCTCAGTGAGCTAGGTGTGAAACTCGTTGCACAGAAATGAAGCCGGAAGATTTACATTTTCTTGTAAAAATAAATTATTTCTACTATTGAGAAGTATAGAAATATCAATAATTTTGTCAGGTACAGTGAAAGAAAAGAAGGCACTGTATCAAGGAGACAGACACTTTTTGAAATGACAGTGAGGTAGTGTATAGTTTGATTACATAATTCCTTAATAGCTTCCATGAATCCCATTTCTTTTTCATTTCATAAAGCCTAGTTCAATTCAGAAAGTTAGTACACAGTTCTGGTCCAGCTGTCTGTTCCCCATCGCTGGAGAAAAATATAAAATTCTGCTTAGATCAGGGTAGAAGTTATTAGACTCAAAAGAATGAACTCTGGGTGTATTTAGCATTTCAGAAGATTCTTCAGGTCTGAAAAACTATGTATTTTGTGGAGAAGAATAATATTTCTCATTCGCTCTTTGTTCAATCAGTTAATGGAGAAAAGTTACCTGAAGGTCTGAATGGCCAAACAGTCACAGAAAATAAAAACATTCATATCTTAGAATAGGTACATGTAACTAAACTAAGAAATGCTGGAATTTATTCAGACTATATCTCTTCTTCTATTTTTATAACCCACTTTCCAAAGGCAACATCATCTTATTAATTATTGATACTCCTCACTTAACATACAGTCTTTGAGCAAAAGATCTGAAAAAGCTTCCCACATTTCCATCAATGGGGTACTGAATCTTGCTTCCTGCAGAAAAGGGTCTTCTAGCCGAGCTTCAGTATATAGTTACTTCTTTCAGTTATTAGAGAACTGACTGTTAGAATTCATAAGCAAATAAATCCCAAGTGTTGTTAAAAAGAAATATTACCACTATTTTGAAAAACTAAACTAAATTCACTGGATTTCTATCTGGTGCTGATGGGGAAATCAGTATTAAAAAAAAAAGGCAAAACTTGGAGACTCAAAAAGAGTCTATTAATTCACAGGAGGCAAGATGTTGTTTTCAGAAACTGCAGCCAGCAAACCTCACTGCTACATGCCAAGTTTGTACCCATGGGGATGGACAAAGTGAAAGGAGATATAAATGGGCTAATAAAAAAAAGAAGATAATGAGAAGAAAAACAGCTAGAATAAATCTGAAAAGATAAAGGTACAGAAACATAAACAAATGGGAACTAAATCAAGTGGAAAAGTGCTAAGGAGATGTCATGAAAAGCAGCTTCCCCCCATGCCAGCTGATGCAGGTCTCTCCCAGCACCAGAGACAGAAAGTCCTGCCTCTGAGCAAGGCTGAGATCTAATGGGCATGACAGAAAAAACACGAATATCTAAGTGACACCAGGATGACAAAGGATATGAAGTCCAAAGGGAACCACTCAATTTGGTTTATAAAAATATTTCAAACCTTGTTTTGATTTTTGTGTTTGCCAACACATCCGTACAACCATAACATACACAATGTGCATGGATATTTCTGGGAAGAAATAGAAATGAGAGGAAAGAATTTAAAAAAATAAATAAATAGTATACAGTGGTTAATACCCATTTAACACTCCTTAACAGATTTTGAGGCATAAGCAAGAGGTAAAGAGTGCTCATTTGCATAATTTGGCATCATACAAGCTGAGAGACTTATTTTCTACTTGAAGGAGAGTCATATAATAACCTCTAAGGGTTTTGTGACAAGGACTACTGCAGCACATCTGCCAGCCTACCATGAAATTCTTGTAGACATTCAGAGAGTAGAGCCTAACGTCCAGTGGGAATACTGCAGTCTGCCAATCAGCATAAATCACATCTTCAGCGCTGCTCTGTGAATGGTTAACATTGCCCAAGCTTAGCCAAAAAGGTGAATACTTTTTTCACTACTCCACAAAGTGAAGGACAACCATGTGAGCTTACATTTGCATAAATGAAGACCGGCAGCAATGGTGAGATGACGTTCAGGATTGCTTATGACTTTTCCAAGCCTCATTCAGAAACAAACACTTCTTGACCCTTCTGCTTGAAATACCACATCATCTTGAAAATGAAGCATGGCTTTGCTGGATTGCTTGCCTCTCACATATTTTTCCCTAGGTCAGTGACCTCTGTTAGGGGACAAAACATCCAGTTTTCACCACAAATGGCACAAACTAGCATGCTTCAGCTCCATGTTTGTCATGTAAGAAAGAGGAATGTTATGTTGTGACTGTCTGACAGCTATTTGGCTCAAAGCATCCTGACATGATAGGTAAAATACGAAATATAGGAACACCTGTTTATACTCAAATCCCAGTCCCACCAGAACTTCCCTGAAACAAACAAAAGGAATAACTGGTTGCAGAGCCAATGCATACAATGCAGCTACTACAGTTCCAACAGAAAAATCTGTAGAGAGGAAATCCTCAAGGTATGCTATGACAGTTGACTGAAACTTAAAGACTTGCTGCCAATACACCATCATCTGGCACACTGGGCTGTGACAGCCCTCGTGCTGTTCAACACTGCACATATATAGGAGTTTTCAACAACAGTTTCAAGGAGAACAAAAATAGTGATGTGAAGAGGATAGTGATGGGAGTTTACAGTTGAAGTTGCCACTGGTCCTACCAAATGTTCACCTGCTTTTCTCCAAAAAGCAAATCTCATCTTTTCATTATAAATGGACCCCAAACACTATGTCTTCCTCATCTACCCTACTAATGATTGTCTCATATTGTGTCATTATTGGTGGTGGTGTGAATGCTAGTAATCCAATCTATTTAAAATGGACTCACCCTACTCAAGGACATGGAACTGCCCAGCTAAATACAGAAAAGCAGCATTTCAAAGATTAAATCCTACCACACCTTTCCAAAACAAGACACTGTCCAGGAACCTGTGAAATATATATATACAGGTTAATCATCTTTTAACACTAGCAAAATAAGAGCCAAGCAAATTGTGGACCAGACTGATTAACCTACAGATATAGTGGGAACAAGAAATGTAACTTATTGGCAACAGTTTTTGCTTGTTTGCTAACTGAATGTTCAACCCTCAAAGACTTGTCACATTCAGGTCTGCATTCATCTGCAATGAATAATTTTTATTTTGGGTTATTCTACTGCGTGTTCTTTCGAACAGTTTTTTGGCAATCTGTGGACTTGAATACACACTTGAGAAATTTACATCGAAAATTTGTAAAGGAATCTGCACCTCCACTGAAAAATACCTACAGATATACAAATCCATACATGTGGTTGGTCTAGGCTGCTCTGGAAATATATCCAAGAATCATCTAGCTTCCTGCTTCTGAAGGAGCTCACTGGGTAACAGCATGGTCTAAGTATACACTACAGATATGTTACAGGTGTCAGTCTAGTCTGGGGTGCCATTGCTGCAGCCAGATGCATGGCCTAGACATGGTCCCAGCTATTTGCTGGGCCTTGATCCCACTGGGTCTGCAACCCACTTCCACACTTTTGGCTTCATACAGAGGCTGGACACAAGGCCTGGATGGGCACCACAAGGCACCCCAGAGATACCATTCAGCATGACTTGGATAGGGAGCACAGCCATGGCCTACCTCAAAGGACAAGTCTAAGTGCATCCCACATACACACACTCAACCAGTTTATCAATGAAACGTTTTTTCAATGAAAGAAGGATACAGAAGCTTTCCAGAGGTGATACAGCCAACATCTGCCAGGACACACCTTGGTCTGGATAAATGCCAAATAAAATCTAGGGCAAGGATAAAAAACAAACATTCATTAATAACAAAAAAATACCTGCTAAGCCTATCTCAAATGCCTAAACAAGACTCTTACAAACCATACATTAACTTGTATGATTTCTTTCAGTAATTTCAGGCATGTTTCCACCACAGCTGAAAAGCAGCCCTGGGTTACTTAACAAGGAAGAGTAATATTCCTTCCATAAACTTACTGCCAGTCACATATTTGAAGTATTTTATCCAAGTGTCTCCTAGGACAAAGTTATAATCTGAAGGATCTATCTGGAAAGTAATACCCAAAACCAAGGAAATAGTGTCATCTATTTTGTCTCTGATACAGAAGCCCTGCTAGCCAAAAAAAAAAAAAAAGTTCCTCACAGCAGCTAAAAGAATAAACTCCAACTTTTTGAAATGTTTCTCAAATCTTGCAGTCTAAGATTTTACTAATTTTGAAGATTTTGGTAGAGGAGAAGCATTCTGGCAGCCTGAGTAAGGAGCTGCCTACCTCCCCATGGCCTTCTGCCTTTCACACCATGGAGCGCTGCCATTGCTGGTGCATCCTCCGCAGCACAGCTTTCCCTATGAACATTCCTCAGGTGTTAGCCAGTATCTAAAGACTCATCATAAATTCAAAAAAGCAACCATAAAGGACACACAAATTTGAGTTTAAGCTGCCTCCTCAAACCTCAACGCTTACCCTACCATACTGTCCAGGGTGGTGGCTAGTACACCAAAGAGTGGTCTGATTAGGCATGAAGCCCTGCACAGAATTTTCATTTCTTTGTCATCTTGACCCAACCTCAAGACATATTTTTATTAGCAAAGACCAAATATCACACCTGATTTTGAACTAATTCTAAGGAAATGGGGGCCGGGGAAGCATTGCAAATTCAATACTTACAGAGCAGACAACTACAAAGATAAAAAGGCCTGAAACTTTTAGGAATTTTAGACAGCATCTGAAATGTAAGAAACATGCATTTACTATATGGCTATTTTAAAAACAAACCTTTTCTGTTCCCTTAATAGCTCTGACATTTCAGAAGCATCATGGTAAGCATTTATGGGTGGTAATATATCACATCAGAGTAGGGACACCACAGAGTCAAGAAGGGGCTTGGGAAGCCTCCATGACTATAAGGGCTCCTGCCCCAGGTCTGCTGCCAGCTGGGTGTCATTGCATAAGAAGGAGGTTTTACCCCTGGGGAAAGCCAAGTGAAGGCTGCAGCATGATCTGGAGCCAGTTCTCTGCTGCTGGCCCTGAAAGACCCAGTGACCCATCAAGCTCACCCTGGTCTCTCCCAGGGAGGCAGAAAAACATTGCCACTGCAGGGGGGTGGCATGGCCGAGCAGCAAGCACAGCTGGTGTTGTGAGTTAATTCATCAAAACCAAACTGCTAACATATGTCCTGAAAGGTACTGGGATAAGACAAGTTGAAGACAAGAAAAACTTTAAGAAACTCCTGGGTTTAATGGTATCTCTATATAAACCAGATATACTTCATTAACATCTCTAGATAAACTAGCTAGCAAAACTTTCCCACCCCCCCAAACACACAGCACTTCTGTGCCCTTTAAAGGAATGACCAGTTCTGGACATGTGATGCCATCAAATCTTCTGAAGTGCCAGAGCTTACTCCTGAGTGGGTTTAGCAAGAATAACTCTAAATTAAAATATGGATGTTGAAAATGCATGCTCTTGTGTAAGAAAGCATATTATTTAGCCCTTTTAAATTACTTTTTCTAATTTTAAGGGGTTTTTAATTAATTAAATTACCAAAGAAGTTAACTCCTAACTAGTTATTTTCTGGCTGCCCATCAGTATGTTACACAGATGTCTTCATTTACAGAAGCCTTTCTGGAGATTTACCCTTACTACATCTTTTTATTAATTGAAGACATCGATGTTCTTATTTCATTTTTTCAAAAGTAAATATTCAAACATTGTTTTTCTGACAGAAGGACAAATGTAATGTTTGATTTAAGCCTGATGACAAGCAAGAAGGAAAACATTTCAAGTTACTAAGATAATTAGTTGAGAAGGGAATATGCAATAAATAGCTGCATTGGCAGATGTGATAGAACAAAATACTAAAGCAAAGTAGTCTGAAGAGAGTGAGAAATAATTGTTAATCACAGTGGTAAGAAGTCCCTAAATCAAGTTCATTGACTGGAAGCAACATAAGTGACTGGAGACCCATTTTTCAAAAACATTGTTTTCTGAAGATCCCTTACCCTTAGGAATACTCCAAACTGGCGGGGGAAGAAGGGGGGG